CCTAATATTTACCAAGATAAGATGTTAGTGTCTCACTCACAGGTAAATAGGTAAGAGAGTTAATAAAGGAGGGTAGGGAGTTGGAAACGTGAATTGTATTAAGAGATAATCTGAATATAATTTTTAACCAATTATGGGTATATATACACACAAAGGAAAAAAATTATAATCTCTTACCTTACTTCTTGATAGACAACCAGTAAATGGGATTGGTAAGAGGAACGAAGTGTTCATGGATTACCAGTAAGTCTGTTTTAGTCTTTACTAAGATAACTTATTTACCATTTATATTTCTCACCTCAGCTCTTTACTGGAATAAGAAAAATTAAATGCATACATTTTTTGTTTTTTAAAGTTTATTTCCTTTAAATGAGAGAGAAAGGTTCCCTTGACAGGGTGTTTATGCTGCAATCCTCACCCCAGCTCAGCAGCTAGCTAGCCAGCAGATTTAGGTAGACCCTGGATATAAACATTGAACCTTCCATTCGATCTCTGTGCAGCAGTTTCCCCTCTGCCTCTGCCATTACAGCTAGGCTACAGTTAGTTTTTATTTTGTTTTTGCAGTCCAAGGGTATATTAAATCTTCACACATGTTAGGGTTATTTAACAAAGATACTAGTTTAAAATTCAGGGTATCTTTTCATACAAAAGGAGTATTTTATAGAGTTGAACATTACTTTAAAATCACTGGTAAGGGTGAAAAGATGAAAGACCAGAGATTTTAGTCCCAAACAGACTATCGTCATTTTAGTCTAGTTATTTAGTATTAAAATAAATTTTATGACAAACTAATACATAGATGATATGAAGAAAAGACATATAACACTAAAGTTATATGGTAAACTTTTTCTTTTCTTTTTCATAAAGGCATATTGTAACAGAATGGAGGAACATATTTGTTATCATCTTAGATTATTTTGTACTTTTAACAAGAATATGTATTCAGATCTAACTCTTTGATGATAAAGGAAACTATACATGATTCCTGAAATGTTGGACATTGGGCTACTGTGTGTCTATAAGACAGATTTTACCATATGGCTATTAATCTTGTTTTTAAATGTGCTATTTTTCTTAAAAGAAATTTACTTTACCCTAGTAGTCTTAGTTCTAATGTTTGCTTATTATAGCAGTTCCCTTTGATTGTATGCTATCTATTATATTTCTTACTCTCAAAATTAGGCTAAATTGAGCACAGTAGTGGAAACAGAGGGCAGAGCCAGCACCATGCTGTGTAGTTAGTTTAAACATTTAGCTTAGGGACCAGCAGTTAGCGTAATGGCTATATTGCTGAACTCCCATGTAGTTGTCTGGTTTGAGTGACAGACTCGGTGGCTTAAACTCATGCCAGGCACGTGTGCATGCGTGCCCATGATCCCAAGAGGAGAATGGAGGAGAAGGGATTGTGTCGTGACCATCCCCCCGGGGCGGTGATTTCTCGCTTTCTATCTCTCTGTCTCTCTAGTGAGCGTACACGTCCTATAGCGAAAACCTCTCCAAAAAAGCATTTAGCTTAAACATTTGTTAGTTATTTTGCCATAGAGTGAGTGAGTGTGTGTGTGTATGCCTTAAGTATAAGTTGCTCCATACATGAGGATTTTAGAACATTGTGCAATGAAATTAATAAGGATATAAAAAACTCAATATCCCACGTAAAATACCAATGAAATTATGAAGGGAAGAAAGTTTTGTTTTTTCTACTTTGCTGTAGGACACAAGTGTTCACCAGGGAAAAATGGGGGTGGGGAGATTGAGAAAGCCACCTCCCAGGGAAGATGGCCACCCTGCAGTTTCTTCTCCATTCTCCTCTTGGGATTCTGGGCATGCTCATGTGCACCTGGCATATTTTTCAAGCTGCTGGGTCCAGGACTCAAACTGTACAGTAAATTATCTGGGATCCAGTTGCCTTAACCATCCCACCACTGGCTGGCCTGGGAAAGTTTAATTTAAAACTAAATATTGAGTTTTCAGGAAAGTCATGATGAAGTTTCGACTTTAAACAAACAAACAAACAAACAAAAAAACAGAAAATACGTCATGACTTTTCTGACCACCTAATATTTATTCTTGAGATCATGAATATGATTAAGCTAGGGCACAAAAGTCACCTAAAAGTTGATTATTCATCTCTTTCTACATGTCTTTTGCTAAGTTAACTTAGGAATCATAAAAACCAGGTTGTATTTCAGTAACAGTTCAATAGTCTGTCTATTTTAAAAAAAACATTATATCATTTATGTTTGTTTATTTTTAATTTTGACCAGAAAGGGACAGAGCAGGTGTGGGAGGAGTCAGAAAATAAACTGCCAGGTCCAAGATTTGAACTACAGTCAGCCATGTGGGAGTCCAGTGTCCTTAACCACCAAGCCACCTGCCAGTCTCAATAGTCCTAACAATTCACTAAGTACAACTTAAATATCCCTTATTGGAAATATGTTTCCAGATTTCAGGTTTTTTTGCATTTTGGCATATATGAATACACATGAAATATGCTGGAGATGGAGCCCAAGTCTAAATAGAGAATTTATGTTCCAATATATGTAAACACATAGTGTAAAAGTAGTTTTATACAATATTTTTGTATTATAGCATTTTAGTAGCAACTTATGTAAGATCAAGTGGAATTTTCTACTTGTAGTATCATACTGGTGCTCAGAAAGTTTCACATTTTGAAGCATTTCAGATTTTTAGATTATAGCCTTTTTTTTTTTAACCTCTTTCATGCCAGCAGTGAACACAAAAGGGATTTTAACAACAACAACAAAAATCTCATTTATAATAAACTACATTAAAATTAAAGTGTATATTGGCCTGTTCAACCTGAAAACATAGGTTAGTGGAAAGTGTCCCATGCTTTAAAAGCCTAGTCTAGTAGACACCAAGATGATTTGGTAAGATTGCTGGGGATGGGAGAAACAGAATTTTATAAAGTACTTTTTCTATTCTTTCTTTAATGTAACAAAAAATTTTTATCAGTTTATATATGTGGTTCTGAGAACATATAAATGAGAAACCATAAGCCAGTTTAAATCATAGGAATACTTAAGATTTTGCGAAAGGTGGAAGACAAAGGTGATAAACACATCATCTTTCTACTTCAGAACTTGAACTAGTCTGGGTTACTGCAGAAATTTTAAAAATTTAGGAGTACTTATAAAGTGATTATAGAAAATAGAGAAGTGGGCTGGTTCCATGGTGCAGTGATGATACTACCCAAAAGAAGCTTGATCCCACATGGCAACAGTGGTTTGAATCCCCAACCCTGTCTGATTGAAACATGCCAGGCGTGTATGCAGGTGTTCGATATCTGTTGGGCTAGAGACACAGAATCACAGCATGAGCACTCCCTTAGAAGGAGGATGCTAATCTATGTATTTATCCATTTCTAAGTCTTGTGTATACTCATGCACTGTCATGAATAAAGAAAAAGTACATAGAAGTAAAACCATGCTACCAAAGACAAAATTGCTTAAAGCTGATCAAGATAAACAACAAGATAGCTTATTCCATTTACCATTAAGATATTTACTACCTTATTTATTTATTTATTTATTTGTAGCATGTGTGCTCACTAGAGGGAAAGGAAAAAGCTCCCTCATTCATGACACTGTCCCTTTTTCTCCCTTTCTCTGTCTTTTTTAAAATTTTGAGCAGGTATGCATGCACGCACACGTAACTGGCATGTTCCTCAAGCTAACATGTCTGGAGTCAAACTGCAGTAGACTTTTGCTATGTGGGCACCTTAATTGGCCTTAGTTTTCATTTTCAGTGAAATGGTTTTTCATGACGTTTACTGTTGATTATCGTTGGTACTATTACTTTTTCCTGTCTAGAAAACATCAGTAGAAATAACAAAAGATTGTTTGGGAATATGGGTGACTAGAAATAACAAACTAGGCTGAGTTACGATAGCTTTGCTTGGGAAATGTGCCTTCTTTTCCAGCCTCCTTTTAGAGGACTCTGAAGAAGAAGAAGGTGACTTATGTAGAATATGTCAGATGGCAGCTGCATCATCATCTAATTTGCTGATAGAGCCATGCAAATGCACGGGAAGCTTGCAGTATGTTCACCAAGAATGTATGAAAAAATGGTTACAGGCCAAAATTAACTCTGGTAAGATTTACTCCTTTGTGTATTTTCAAAATTCTCCAAGACATGTACTTATGCTAATATTTTTGTTAACAAGTTTGTGATTGTAATTAATTGATTATTGAAACACGACTACCCAAAGTATTTTACTCATTTTTGAAGTCTCAGCAAAATCATTAAAGAGCATTAGTCTTGTTTCATAAGTTAAATTTATGTAATGTTTCTTATACTTCATTATCCAACAAACTACTTCATGTATGTATAGTACAGTTGTAGTATGTGATTGCTGGTCACTTTTATTTCATATAAGAACCTCTTGATGAAAGAAATACACTTATTATTTACTAGCTGTATGTACTTGAGAAAGTTGTATTGTTTCTATTGCTGTTGTGTCACTTATGGAATTACAATAAGACTATTGTAGAGGATTCATTTGTTTATGGAGTGGCAGTTTTGGAGTCATGCATAGTTCCAGATATGAGCAAGACATACAATCCTGCTCTTGCATTTAGCGATACTGGGGCTTAAGAGAATGCCTTTCTGAGGTGAGGCCATTTAAGTCTGGTGGAAAACAAGGTAAAGGGAATCATATCTTATTTATGTCTTGCTTCTCTGTGGAAAATGGACTTTAGAAGGACAAAAGTGGATTGAGGGAGCCCAACTAGGAGTCTATTATAGTATCACTTGTTAGAATTGGTGATGGGTAGCATATGGTAGCAATGATGTTTATGATAAAATGGATAGATTCTAAGACCAGCTGGTGGCATGGTGGTTACGATGGATAAATCCCACATGGCTGACTACACAGTTCAAGTCCCAGATCTGGCTGATTGAAGAACATTCTGAGTACACATGTGTGTGTATATCAAAAATCTCCGAAGGGAAGGATAAATGAAGTGAAAGAGATTGTAGTATTACCATCCCCCATGGGGGGGATTGTTTTCTTACTTTCTCTATCTCTGTCTCTTCATTGAGTGCACATACCCTCTGGCAAACTTAAAAAAAAAAGAGAAAGATTCAAGAAAGCTTCTGAATTTATTTTTTGAGAGAGAGAGGTTTTTGCTATAGGGTGCGTGTGCTCGCCAGAAAGAGATAGAAAGCGAGAAATCACACCCCACCCCCACCCCCACCCCCCAGGGAGGATGGCCACGCCACAATCCATTCTCTCAGGATCTTGGGCACACACGCACATGCACCCGGTGTGAGTTTAAGCCGCCAGGTCCAGGACTCGAACCGCAGTCGACCACGTGGGAGTCCAGCAACATAGCCATTAGGCTAACTGCTGGTCCCAGAAGTGGGTTCTATTAATATAAAACTTGTGTTGGATGTGGTGGAATATAAGAGAAAGAACAGTCTTAAAATTCATAGTTTTTCCTCAAACTACTAGGTGAATGGAAATACTGTTTACTAAATTAAGGAAGCTGGAAGTGCATTAGATTTGGAAAAGGAAATCAAGAGTTTTCTTTTGGACATATGGACTTTATCAAATAACTGTTCGGTAGATTAAATAAGAGATTACACATAAAGTACCTTAGCATGTTTTTCTGCTAAATGAAGAATAGTTTGACTCAACTTCTGATATGTTAACAATTAGATTACCAGCGTTGGATATAAAGGAAAGTAGGTAAAATGTAGTTATTATTGAAGTACAGTGGTTTTTCTAGTTAGGTTGGAATATTGACTCTAGTACTCTGGTAGCTATAGGATTTTGAGTGTTTTGTTTGTTTGTTTGTTTGTTTTTTTGTTTTTTTATTTTATTTTAAGTTGGTTCCCAACCCTGGCTGTGGATCAGAATCATTGAAGTTTTCAGGATTCATCTGTGTTGTAGCATGTAATTAATTCCTTTCATGACTTAAAGGAGTTGTTATCTAGACAAAGAAGGATCTCTGTTTAGCCTCTAGGGCAGGCACATTCCTTAGTTTCCCAAAAGTCTTCGGTATGTGCACTCACTTCAGAGATAATGGACTGGATATATAACTTGTTTGAGTTGCTTTCATTAAACATTGTTTTCATAGCATCATGCCAAAAGGCTTGAGAAGGAAGGAGCATAGATGACATTTCATTGCCTTTGCCACCTTCCCACCATCAATGATGAATAAGTATCTGGGAGGGAAAAAACAACAGAGATACCTAAATAATGGGTGGAGGCTTAAATACCATTGGGCAGGCAGGACCTGAAATGCACAGTGCAATTAAGGTTTGCTATTTTAGGACATATTACTGGTTTACTGCAGTAATGCAGTCTTCTTTCCCTTCTTTTCTCCTTGTTGATAAAGATTTTTATATTTTAAATAGCACTTTGGAGAAAGCATTTTCTGAAGACATTGTAAAACTAAGCTTTATTTGTAATTAATTTTTGCCAGGTTCTTCATTAGAGGCTGTAACCACCTGTGAACTTTGTAAAGAGAAGTTGCAGCTTAACCTGGAGGATTTTGATATTCATGAACTACATAGAGCTCATGCAAATGAACAAGTTAGTATATTTTGCCTAATTTGGTAAGTGTCTATTCTATGCTTAAGGGACAACTCTTGAAGAAAAGATTAAATCATGGTCAGAAACCCTGCATTAATATAATAATAATGTTATTAACATAATTCCCAGTTAAGTGCATTATTGGGTCATCGGGAGCAACATGATGCATTTTTGCATCAAAAAAATATGTCATTTTATGTATGCTTTGATAATTTTATTTTTCACCAACTTCTTATATGTAAACAACAATCAAATCACAAGTTCTAAATTCGTTATGGTAAAATTCATTGTGTGTCCTATAAACCCTAGGACAGTGGTCCCAAACTAAGCTTATTTCCCCAGGGCTGTAAGTTTTTAAGATGCTTAAATGATACAGTTAGAAAGAGCTTGATATTTCTACCTTTTTCCCTGCTAGTGGAAAAGTCTGGAGGAATGTGTTTAAAGAGACTTCAAGGGTGACTATAGAGTCAAACTGTCCAAGTATAGTTAACATATTTGTTATAAAAAGAGGTCTGATGGCAAGGGAATACACAAAATGCTTCAAAAACACTTTTTAAATTATGGGATAATGGGCACCCTTCCTTTTCTAATAATGTGGTGAGGTTCCCAGAATATGAAAGCTATTTTAAAGTGAACAGTTCAGTGGTGTTAATACATTCACATTGCATAACCACCATCTGTTCAGTTTCAAAAAACATTTCTGCATTCCATAAGAAAATTTGTACCCATTAAGCAGTTGCTCCCCATTCTTTCCAGCCCTTGGCAACCACCAATCTTTGTTGTTTTTTGAATTTACTTATTCTGGATATTTTGTGTAAATGAACTCATAGAATATGTGATCATTTGTGAGCAGGCCTTATTTTTCAAATGTGGGAATAATGGATACCCTTTGAAAATCTAATTAAACTATGGACCCTCCTTACAGAACATACCATTTAAAGGATTCCCAGGCCCCTTGAAGTTAATTGCTTGGATCAAGGTTAAAAATTACTGACCTAAAAAATGAAACATTAGGCAGCTGATGTAGCATAGATGCTATTCTCTAATGCCATTTACATTGTTTTATTCTCTAATGAGCCAGTTATCCAAAAATAAAATCTCTTTCAGCAAGGAACTATCTTAAATTCTCAAGGAGTCTCTGGATAGCTGAGCACTGGTACTTTAAAGAATGAAAAAGAGCATGGGAAAGTGGGATAATGCAGGGGATATATCATATCAGATTTATACATATATAAAGTTTTCCCTTCTTCAAATTAGAGTAGGATTCAAAAGACTTATTTTTTTCCAGCCATCTTTCTTCTCTAGATGCTCCATCATGTCTCTCAAAAGTTAGTTCTTTCCTGGGATAGCAGGTAGCATAGTGGTTAAGGCACTAACTTTTGTAGCCAGGCGCTGTTCAAGTCCCAGAACTGGCAGCTTGAAACTCATGCCAGGCACAGGTGCTTGCAGTGCCCAAAATCCCAAGAGGAGGATGGAAGAGAAGGGATTGTGGCATGGCCATCCCCCCTAAGGGGTGATATCTCACTTTCTCTCTCTCTGTCACTCACTCTCTGGCAAGGGTACGTGCCAGATTGCCAAAAAATTCTCCCTTTAAAAAAAGAAACTCATACCAGGCACATGTGTGCACACACTCAAAATTCCAGAAGAATGGAGAAGGGATTGGCGAGTGGCCATGTCCACTGGGGTGTGATTTCTCACTTTCCCTCACAGTTTCTCTGTCTCTCTCCTCTCTGGCCAGTGCATGTTCCCTGTGGCAAAAACCAAAACAAGAAAAGTAGGGGTTTTTTGTTTTTAATGTGGTCAGGTCAGGGCTGTTTTTATTGTTCTCCAAGCATTTTAATGACCCCCATTATTAATTTGGAAATGTTAGGAAATACTAGATAGTGTCATTATAAACAGAGTGACAACCTTCATTAAGCTTCTTGGCTTTAATTTGTTTTATGTGAATCATGGATTCTAGTGGCCTAACAACTACCCTCATTTTAAGTGAGTAGTTTTTATAGTTTATTTCCTTGTTACCCAGTAGCTTCAGCTATTAAAAGATAAGGCATACATCGCTAAAATTTTTTAAAGACTTATTTATTTAATCCCATTTATTATTACTATTTTTTAATTTAACCAGACAGAGACAGAGAGAGAGAGAGAAAGGAAAAGTGAGAAAGCAAGCTGCCATGTCTGGGACTTGAACCACTGTCAGCCATGTGGGAATCCAGTGCCTTTTACGACTGTGCCACCTGCCAGCCCCCATTAAAATTTAAAAAATATTTTTTATATAAGATTTCCTTTTAAGTTAAAAATAAGTAAAAAGGCGAAGCATTTAAAGAAATGTTTCATAAATTTTAATAAACGAATTTCATTTTTCTTGAATATTTAGAAGAATCTGATAACCACTTAATTGCTAAAGTTGGTACTAAGAGTGTACAGTTTTGAACTTAATTACCAAAAACAGGATACAACTTACAGATAATTCATTTGTCTAAAAGAAAAAAAAGTCACAGGACAGGGGCCAGTAGGTGGCATGCTGGTTAAAGTGCTGGATCCCACATGGCAGACTAGCAGTTTGAGTCCTGGACCCTATGACCTAAAAGTCACACTGCGGGGACCAGCAGATAACATAGCAATTACATCACTGGACTCCCACATGACTGACTGCGGTTTGAGTCCCAGACCTGGTGGCTTGAAAATCATGCCAGGGGTGCATGCATGCCCAGAATCCCAGGAGGAAAATGGAGGAGAAGGGATTGTAGCGTGACCATTACCCTAGTGGTGTGATTTCTCACTCTCTCTCTCACTGTCTCTGTCTCCCTCTTTCTCTCTCTGGCCAGTGCACACACCCTAAGGCAAAAACCTCTTTAAAAAAAATAAATCACACTGGGTGCATGTTTGCCTGTGTGTCCAAATTACCAAGAGGCAAATGTAAGAGAAGGGACTGCAGCATGGCCATCCCCTGTGTGTGTGTGTGTGGGGGGGTGTCATTTCTCACTTTAACTCATTCTGTTCTATTGGGAGTACACGTGCCCTGTGGACAAAAGTGTTTTTAAAAAACATCACAGGACAGACCAGTTTTTTTTTTTTCCATGAATTTTTTTAATTTTATTTTTTTAAATTTGACCAGAGAAGGACAGAGAGAGAGAGAAGGTGAGAAAGCAAGCTGCCAGGTCCAGGATAAGAACTGTAATTGGCTATATGGGAATCCAGCGACCTTAGCCACCATGCTACCTTCCGGTCCCCAGACCAAATTTTTATTAACACTTTTATTTATGATTTTTATTCCCAGCTTAAAAACAACAGAACTTTGAACCTAAAAACTTTTTTTACCAACTGCAAATTTCCATGTAAATGAGTTACTTCGTTAAATTTGTTAGTTCATTCTTTTATTTACCTTTAACTTAATTGTATTATCCAAGAAACAACTGAGCTATGAGAATAACTGTTAGAATATTTATTTAGCTGTAAGTGAAATGGTAATTTTTTTAAGTAAACATAAATAGCTCTTGCTATTCGTAAAATAAAATCTCTTACAGCTTTATAGAAAAGCCAAGCATTTCACCATCAAAACACTTCAAAAGTTTCACTTTTTTTATAAATTATTACATAAAGGAAGCCTAAGTGAGAATAGATATTCTCACCTATTTGGACTCATTATATGGCATTAGTAAAATTTTATTAAGTTATTAAGGGCAGCATTTTATTTCTTATTTTAATAGATGACACTATATCCCTTAGTAGGAATTAGGTAAGAGTGCTTTCCTCTAGTTTATCAGCATGCTGTGGATATCAGTCTCAGTTCTACTAATTTTTTATTCTCCATGTTCTTTGTTTTCTTTCTCTGTTTGCTTCATTGTTGAAGGCTGAGTATGAGTTTATCAGCTCTGGTCTCTACCTAGTTGTGTTACTGCACTTGTGCGAACAAAGCTTTTCTGATATGATGGGAAATACAAATGAACCAAGCACACGTGTCCGGGTAAGTAATATTAGAGTGGGGAAGAAAGGGAGGGTGTGGTACAGCAGTTGTTTGCCTTGAAAAATAGATTGTTTCATGTTTTATTTTAGTTCCTTTGGGGATCTCTTGTTTTTAAATATTTCTTTAAAGGTACTGTAGATTTAATAGAAATTGCTGTCTTCAATACACAACCTAATTTTCTCATAAAGCAATTTTAGAGAAAAAAGTAATTTTTCAGTTCTTGAAGGTAAATTGGAACATATTTTAGTGAAAAATTGACAGAATTTGAAACACCAAGGGAAAATGTTTTCAATTTCAAAAACAAGCAAACAAATGAAACTTTAGTATAACTAAGAAACCTGAAACTGAATTCCAACAGCCAAAATATGGAAAATTAACTTTATTATTGCCATAAAAGATACCAGTTACTAACTTATAAGTAATTAGAGTATTTAAGATATGGACAAGTTGGTAATTACCATGTATGCTCTTAGCCATAATACAGTATTTAGACTAGATCCTTGTTAGGTATATATGTAAATGATACTGTTTGCCTTAATATATCCGAGAAAACTGTTCTGCTTTGGCCATTTTGTGTAGCAGGCCTAAGATATATATCTCATTACAGTAGCATTCTCAACACTTCATACTTGAATGTGTTTATAAATATATCCTTCAAACTTTTTTTATATAAATGTGATAAAAATTATAGATTTCACATTAAGGAGTTTTTATTTTGAAAATTACCAAGTAATAGCAATTCAATATATAGCTAAATTTTACCTCAACATATATCCAAATTAACAAAATTTCTTTTTGTATTTTATTATCATGCAGACAGTTGTCCAGTAAACCAACTGCCAGATCATCATCATTGAGATAGAATGAACTATCAAAAGAGTGTTCAGAATTTGAACAAAGATCTCTTAACTTCTAAATACTGTAGAATCAGGAACTTCTACCTTTAGTTAATGCCATAAAAGGATTTATTAAGAAAATATCTAAATTCTTCAGAATGAATAAAGCATACAGAGCATATGTCTTGAATTTATGCCTATGTAAATGTTAATATTAACTGTTAATACTACAATGAAAGTCATTTTTAGGATTTTTTTTAGTAGTATAGAACTGAATGAACTTTCAGAGCTATCGAATGTAGGCAGGAAAATATTCTTAGGTGTTTTTGTTTGTTTGTTTGAATTGACCACTAAAATCAGACACATTTGAGTCCAAATCGCAAGCATTTTTGTTTTTTCCCCCATTCCATTTCATAATTTTTTAAAAAGTTATAAAAGATGACAAAACCATTAGATGAAATTATTTTATTGTGTCTGCTCCCAATTTCAAGAAACTGGTTCTACATTATTAATAATGATTATTTAAACTTTAAAGAAATGATAACCCTTGCTAAGCTTATAATTTATAATAATGTGGGAAGAAGGACCTCTAAAGGCTTAAAATGGGATTTGACTTAAGTAGAAATAAATCTCCTATACTGATTCTCTCTTAGATCCACTTGCAACATTTAAACTACTGTATTTCTTTCTGCATTGTTTCTAGTTTATTAACCTTGCAAGAACTCTTCAGGCACATATGGAAGATCTCGAAAGTAGGTGGAATTTCCGCTCCCTAGACTTGTTGAATTTACTATTGCAAATTAAACCCACAGGGCAAAATCTAAGTATATACTTTTTGACCAAATTAGAGCTTTGTTTACAGGCTTAATAATACCAAAATGATTTATTTGGGGAATGCATTTTGGGCAAATGACATTATTTAGGAAATGCTTATTTTTGAGATTTATTTTAAGCTACTGAAAGGTATAATTTTACCCACCAGTATTTACTTTTATTTTAGATATTTATTTTTGATCACTGCTTTTTGCACTTGTAATCAAAAAGGAGATATAAAATTTTAACTAATAAGACCTCATTTCTTGGAACCAGCAGATGGCATAATGGTTACGTTGCTGGACTCCCACATAGTTGACCACTGTTCGAGGCCCAGACCCCATGGCTTAAAACCTCATACCGGGTGCATATGCTTGTGTGCCCAAAATCCCAAGAGGAAAATGGAGGAGAGGGATCTGAGGTGTGGCCATTCCCCTTTGGGGTGATTTCTTGCTCTCACTCTCTCTCTCCAGCAAGCACATACACTCTATAGCAAAAATCTGTCTTTAAAAAAACCCTTATTTCTTAATCGGTTATAACCTTTTTTTTTTTTTTTTTTTTTTTTAAGAAATTTTACTTCTTATTTACCTTTGTAAACCATATAAGTGTTTTTTTCTGGGCTTATGTATTGTTCCAGGAAAATAGGGAAGAAAGGATCCTGAGTCTGAGTTGTACCACAGAAGCTATAGGTCTTTTTTTTTTTTGCTCCTTGTTAAGTCCTCATGGACCTTTAATAGGCAGCAAGCTCCACCAGCAACTTCAGTCTCTTAAGAATTATGTTCCAGCATTAGAATCTTCTGTCTAGGATCCTATGTAAGGCACTTAATGCCCAAATCTTCACAGGCATCTTCTCAGCCTACCCTCTTCTCAGAGTCCAACAACTTCCTGCTCTATATCAGGTGGGCATAGGTATTGGTGGCTCTGGAACAGTTCCTGGGAATCTAAGATTACCCCCACTCAGTCTCTGTGTGTTTGACTTTTTCACCCAAAGCAGCAGACTCCATTCTGATATACTTTTAGGAGTGTTTCATTTGTTTTTAAATTTCCTAAGGGGCACATGCCCTTGCTAGAGAGCAATAAAGTGAGAAAACACCCCTCCCCCCATGGGGAATGATTACACAGCAATCCCTTTTCCTACATTTTTCCCTCCTGAGGGATTTTGGGCATTCATGCACAGGTATTAGATCAGAACTCGAATTGTACAGACATGTGGAGTCTAGCTGCACTAATCATCAAGCCACCTTTGGCTTAACATTTTTTACTATGCAGTCTCCAGTTGATTACTTTCTATAATCATTTTCCAAATACTTAGAGTATTACTTAGAGTGTATCTAACATTTTAACCTTTAGAAAAAGCTCAGCATCCTTTGAAGTAATGTTTGAAAATGACTTAGATCTCTTAAAAACCTTTTATCCTAACTTTTTATTCCATGTCTTAGATTATTCTAAGACAGATTTATGTCATTAATCTGTACTATTTTTCAATTTTAAAAGGTCTTGGGAAAACACTGCAACACATTTTCACTGCCTTAGTCAGTAATGTGAAAGTAAAAGGAGTCAATCGGAATTCATTTTGTGTAAATAAATTTTCCCCTTAGTAGTTCAGAACCCTGTGTTAACTAATTCAAAGGTCTCTTTATTTTGTACTTTGTTAAATGTGATGATGATAGTAATTTGTTTTAGTGTACATTTTCCCCAGATTTCCCATTTTTTATTAAAAATATTCTCATTTACAATTTAGTTACTAACTATAGTAATATTCGCTTCCAACATGTGAGAAAGACAGGAAAAAGATGGAAGTGGAATAACCCAAACTCAGCTGAGAGGGAAAGACTGCAAGTTAACTCTGTAGTATCAAGAGTGTTAATATATTCTGGAAATTAGTTTTGACTAAATTTTCCTTTCCTATAGAATTAATCAAATATAAAGCATAAGAAGTTCCCTAAAAAATTACTGTTTTTTAGTTTGGCATTCTTCCATGACCTAGCGTAAAACTTAACCATAGGGTTTATATTGTCACAGTCTAGGTATATACTTGGAATGATTTATTTAAATTCGATTTTATCTGTAAGTGCTGCAGACGGTTTCTTTGTTTGATTTAGGTGGATTGCATTTGCTGAGTATTCTTAAATGATCCAATAGTAATACAAGACTAGACAACGTTAACCTTTCTGCTTTTGATAATAGAGGGGGGGATGCTGGTTAAATGTTTATTTTAGTGAACTTTCCTTTTCTTTCACTTGCAAAGTGTTTAACAGAATACACTGTTTTATACTTACTGTGCCCTTCCTAAATTCTTGTGCCATTAATGACTACTGAATAATTTGAGGTTAGAAGTGTTGAAAAAGTGATAAGTTTCTGACAGTATGGAGACATGGCGATAATCTCAACAATAGGATTATACTGAATCCAATTATTTTAACTTAGGCTGTGTCTATATAATGCTTCTTTGATTTAATGAAATAAGAGCTTTTCTTTGGCATTGTGTAGACATAGCTTTGAAAATTGCAAGAACACCCATAACCTGTTATTCTATGTACATTTTTTTTCATTCTCATCGGATGCATCAAACATGCAGCGGTAATAAGCCAGATTCTACTCAGGTGTGTGAGAGCACTTGTTTTAAATTCACTTTTTCTGTAGTGTGTATATATATATATATATATGTATATATATATATATACTATATATATCATTATCTTCTATGAAAACGAGTGGATCTCAGAAATGTTGTAGCAGATGCTCTTGATCTACATTTTTAAACATTTTCATTTTTATGAAAAAAAGAGATAATATCACAGAAAGACACGGTGGGGTGGGAACATTGTGGATGGGCATCACCCACAGCCAAACCACCCTAACCCTGTCATGATAACTTATCATTTTGACCAAACAGTATACTAAATTGGGATTTTTGTTTTATAAGTCATTGCTGTTCTGGATTCATGTTTATACTGCCCATTCTCATCCCCCTTAAAATCATTCTTGATCATCCTGTTTTCTTTCAACAGCTTCAGAGGATGATTCTGAAGAAGATGGAGACCTTAACAGAACATTTGATATTGCCTAACTTCATATAAGACAAATGGATGATCTGTGAACAAGTGTTTATTAAAACTGGCAATTAAGTATGAATTAATTTTGTGGGGGAATGCCTATTAAATACATTGACTATCTGTATATATAATGAATATATATATGTGTGTGTGTGTATATATATATATATGTGTGTATATATATATATATATTCATGCTCAAGGTTGGCTGCGTTAAAATTCCGTTGGATCTTTTAACATGGCCAGCAAATCTGATGTTTATAAACTGGTAATCAAAAGTATTTTTCTTTTAGGTGAGTGGGAAAGTATTACCCTTGTTTTAGATATCTAAGCGATGCCTATTAACTTTTTTGTGTGTGTTCTGGTTAATATAGTCATATTTATGAAAAAGGTTCGTGTTTTAGTCTCTTGCTAGTGAGAAAAGTGAGACAAATATGCTTTTGAAATAAAATGCCATATGGCACCTAGTTATTTTTCTTTTAAATGCCTTAAGTTGCAGTCTCATTTTGGTAATCATTTGCTTCCAGTGTTTAAAAATAAAAATATTTTAAAAAGATTGGGGAGAAAGTTATGGAGAGTATTATATTAGGTTTCCAAATTTAATTTAAATTCTAAATTAACTTCGCAATAAAACCTAATTTTTAAAAAAGTATATAAATATAAAATATATAAATGATGGACAAATTTTTGTACTGATTTGCAAAATGCAGTAGCCCATAGTATGTATATATTCCTTTTAGGAGTATCACAGCTGTATATTATATCAGAATTGCCAGTCAAATACTGTTTGGTTAAGAAAATTATTGCACTCTAAAGTTAATAGAATATTTTTAAATCCCACATTCAAAGTTTAAAACACTGGTTTTCAATGTGGTTTTTAGTGTTGTCACTTTATAGATAAATATAATATAAATAACCTATTTGGATCCTGATTGTTTTTAACTGTTCCTTGGTAATTCTGAGCATTTATTTGAATGACTTACTAATATTTTTCACTACCTTTGAAGAACAGGTGAACATAGGTGTACACTGTGGTGATAAGTTGTGTATACTTTCATAACACTGTATTTTTTCTTCTGTCAACACCCTTAAAATACACTTTAAAACACCTTCAGGCAGTTTCAAGTTAAAGTCTGCTGTCACAGCAACAAACTACTTTTTCAGAACCTAAATAGAAACCATGTAATTTCTCAAATGTGAATGAACAGTTTGCCTACACTTACTTTGTTGGTCTTATGTAATCTCTTGGCTTGAAATAAAGTGCATACCGATTGATTCATAGCTTGAAATGTTTCCTTTTAAATGGGTGCTCTAAGATGACTTCAAACCTTATAGTCTAGAATCTTATTAAAAGTTCAAAAGCTGTTGAATGTAGTGATATAAATGTTTCTAAAACATTAGTTCAGCTCTTGCCTATTATCCTTCCATTGCCTTACTTAAAACAAAAACACAGAATTTAAAGATGCCAGTGTTAATATATTCTATAGGTCTTCGGAGGTGCTTTGAATTTGAAGTACATACTTTTTTTTTCTTTTCTTTTTCCTAATTTTTGCCAGAGGATGCATGTACTCACCAGAGAGAGGGAGAAGGCTCCCTACTTTGGGAATGGGCATGCTACAGTCTCTTCTCAGTTTCTCCATCCTGTCAGGATTTGGGACAGGCATGCACATGCACCCAGTGTGTTTCTCAAGCTGCTAGGTCTAGGACTTGAACTGCAGGGTTGGCCAAGTGGGTTCTGACTGCTTTAACTACCAAATGACAGAGCTGGCCCAGAAGTATTTAAATTGCTAATAGGATTCATTATAAAAATTAAGTGTCTTCTGCTTATCCCACAAAATTTTTATTTAAATAATTTAAATGGTAGAAAACATTTGGTTGGTATGCATATAATTTATATATAGTTTGTCATTAGAAGCTAAATGACAGGGATAACAGAGAATGTCCTGAGTGATAAGTATTGTATTGGATCATGAAAAAAGTCATGACACTTTTTTGCCTAGAAAACCAAAAATATGTCATGGCTTTTCCAATGACTCAGCAGTTCCTCATTATCACTTAATACTTAAATATTTGCCATATTAGCTTGATAGTGTAATTGTGACACCTGGATACCATATTAGCTTGATAGTGTAATTGTGACACCTGGATAAGAAGAAATGAAAAAGAAATCATTATCAGTTTAAAATTCTGAACAGAAATAAACAGACCATGTATTCCTTACCACCAAGATAGCATATTCCTAAATGTAACTTAAAATGTCATTCTCCCTAGATATCTGCCAAACAGAAGAATTGTTATTTTTAGCTGGAACCCAGATATTGAAGCATTTTCTACATTCTGAATGTAGTAAATAAGCCTGCATATGTAATTGTTAATATTAAAAATAAATAATGCCTTGAAGGATCTACTTATCTGATGACCAGTGAATCGATATAAGTGCCTGGTATAGATGTTGTAATATTAAAAAAAACTAAGATTTAGTATCTTCATTACTGGGGGCTTCTAGACCTGTTGGAGAGTGAAGTCAAACATTGAAACTTAAATTACAGTTTAAAACTTATGGATAAGCTGGCATTAGGTAGAATTTGTCAAAATGTACAGAAAAAAATTTATGAAGTTGAGTTGAAGGGGTGATTCTAGAGCCAGAACTATCCAATAAAACTGTATAATAATGGAAATGTTATGTACATTGCCTAGTAAAGTTAGCCAATAACCACATGTGATGTAGTTAATGTAGTTGATGGGCTGAATTTTAAACTGTACTTAATATACTAAATGATTGGACATTGTAGTGCTTGAGATTTGAGACGGTTGGTTTTAGGAAATTGATAAAGATTGGTCTCCATTCTTAAATGAGTGGTAGAAATTTGGTAGGGCAAGGAATTCCAGACCATAATGTTCACAGTTATAACTATTAGTAGATATCTATAATAAAATAGCAATCTCCATCACTAAACAAAATCTCAGGTTTAAAGCACTTATGGAGTACAGTGTGTCCATGTAATACAGGTAGTGTAACACTTGCTTCATAAAGTGCCTCATGACCACACCCTGCAGTTTTCTGTCACCACTTTGTAGTTATTCATGTCATTAACAATAGTGCTCTCAATTCTGATGAGGGATGTTTTTTATTCATAGTGGTCACTGAGAACAGACCGCACAGGCTGGGACTTTGTTGCCATTAATCAAGCTGGAAACAGTGTGGCTCCCCATGAGAAAATTATTCCTCATAAAATAATTAAAGGAATGTAGCTTTGGGGGAGAACACTTAAACTTTCAAGCTCCTCAATACAAAAAGTGTAATTTTATGTGGAGTCTATATTTTTTATCCTTCTAATTTTGTTTTTGTGTTATAAAAGACACTGAAGAAAAAATTATTCATTTTCAGCTTCCTTTTTTGTTGGTTTTGTGGGGATTTTTCCTCCCCAAATGATTATTATCACCCCAAATGATTATTTTCACCTTTTGTCTTTTTTTTTGTTGCTGAGGTTTTTGCTATGGGGTGTGTGCACTCATCAGAAAGACAGAGAGACAGCGAGAAATCACCCTCTTAAGAGGGATGGCCACGCCGCAATCTCCATTCTCCTCTCGGGATCTTGGGCATGGACGTACACGCGTCCAGAGTGAGTTTAAGCTACTAGGTCTGGAACTCAACTGTGGTGAACTACATAGAAGTCCAGCGACACAGCCATTACACCATCTGCTGGTCCCCACATTTGTCTTTAAAAATGTACAATAAATGCACTGAAACTTTTATCATCACTATTGCTGCACTTGTTTTTCTTCAATCCTTGCTTACGTTACTGAAGGAAAAATTTTATAAATGTGTGGGGTGCATGAGATAAAAATGTACAGTGGCAGGAAAACAATTTTTTTTGGGGGGGGGGAGGTTTTTGCTATAGGGCACATGCGCTCATCAGAAAGAGACAAACAGACAGTGAGAAATCACCCCCCAGGGGGGATAGCCACGCCACAATCCCTTCTCCTCCATTCTCCCCTCAGGATCTTGGGCGCACACACACGCACCCAGCATGAGTTTAAGCCTCCAGGTCCAGGACTCGAACCGCGGTCTACTATATGGGAATCCAGCAACATAGCCATTATGCTAACTGCTGGTCCCAGGAAAACAATTCTTTAAAGGGGACACTATGATGTATTTAATCTCATTGCCAGCCTTTTCCATGCCTTCCTGAACACAGCTACACAGCTATAATTTGTTGTTTAACAAAACTGGAAAAATTTTATTAAAAGTTCAGTAGTTTGTAATACGTGCCCTAAAATACTACATCTAATAGTATGAAGTTAATTATATGGAGTAGTGGATATTAAATCTAAAATTTTCTTCATCTTATGACAGTGGAAGGTTAAGATACTATAGAAATTATTTTCCACAATAACCAGTATCAAGGATATTTAAAAATATGTAAGACCTGGGACAAGCAGGTGGTGTGTTGGTTAGGGGGCTGGGCACTCCTATGTGGCTGACTACGGTTCAAGTTCAGAACCTGGCAACGTCTTGCTTTCTCTCTTTCTGTCTCTGTCTTTTGTCAAATGAGAGTAAAATGAATATAAATAAAATAAAAATAATTCTTTAAAAAATATATAAGACCTATTTTTAAAATCAGTCTTACTCTCCCTATCATGTTTGGAAGTAAAGTAGTGAAACTAAACTAAATAGGTTCAACTAAATGAGAGGGAAGAGGTGAGGGTAGGTGAAACAAACGGTCCAGGTTTTTAGTTGTGTTCTTTTTAAAATTTCTTAATGACCAAGAGAGAGAACACCAACAGGGTCTTGATGCCACAATTCACACCCCTCCCCCTGCCCTGGATCATGGGCACACTTGCCAAGAGTGCTCAGGGGGACCCCCCCAGATATGGACCTGCACCAGCAGCCATTCCCTGTGGGTCTGTGTCACAGAGTGCTTTAACTGCTGTACCACTGTCTTGGATCGATCTCTGTATGAAGCATTTCTTCATTTGACTGAAAGGTTCAGCATTTGAAGGGGTGGTTAAAAACCACTAAAATATAAATTTTTTTAAAGGCCTTTTAATTTGCCAAACTGTGTGTGTGCTCCCTGTAGAGAGGGAAACAGAAAACACATACCCACAGGGAGGGTGGGTGGGTGCCCTTCACTCCCCTCTCAGATTTTTGGGCATGTATGCACATGTACCCGGCATGTTATTCAAGCCGCCAGGTCCAGGACTCGAATCAGAGTCAACCAAGTAGGATCCAGCAACATTAGCCACCACACCAACTGGTCCAGATCATTCCTGTCCTAAAACTCATTTTCATGAGGAACCTCAGGATTAATTTTTGTCAAAAATCTATTAGTACGTGAAAATAATGTTGATAGAATAAGTAATACCATAAAAGCTACATTGTCAAGTTTTACGTTAAAATCTCACATAGAAATTGCAGTCAAGGCATTTGATGGCTTAGTCTGAGATTACCAAAAAAACATTTAGTTGAATTGAACAGCGTAGTCATTTTCTTCTGCAACTACCAAAACACAGTCGTCATCATAAGGTGATTGGGGGGCAGTTGAAAACACTGTGGCAAAACCAGATTCAGAGTTTCTTTTGTAGAGGAACCAAATGATTGCTCCCAAAACTGTCAAAATTACCATGCTAGCAATCACTAGAGCAGCTATTAAAATGTGGTTATCTGCAACGGAAAAGAGAAAACATAACCAAGATCAGGTTATACTAATCACAAATACAACATTTTGGGGAATGCAAGAATTGATATAATACATTATTTAAATATTTATCTCTTGAGAATTTTCCACACAGATGAGAGGGATGAAATTATATATTACTGTCATATTTTTATTTTTAGCTTGAAAAATGGTCATACTTTAAATTTTCAAGTAAAATTTGCAGTTCTCTAGTCTACTGAAGATCTTCAAATCATCCAGATGCACTATTTTCCTCTAAGATGTCGCAAATTCAGACCTACTGGTCTCTTTAGGAACAGTGATACCTGAATGTGTGTACATTAATGAGGTTTAATGGTTTGACAGGTTTTTAAGGTTAAAGATTTGTGTCAATGAAAATACACCAAGAGCGACAGTGAGTATCTGGACTTTTTGTTTTTTTGCAGTCATTCAAGTATTTGTGTCTTCTACTGAACAACTTAGTATTCACAGCCTTGCAGTTCTTGCCTATTAAGAACCCTCATTATCTTTTTATATGAATTGAGTTCAGTTGTGGAAAATTACTTGTTTTAGAAGTTAGGAGAAAAATACTTTGGGGAAGGTATTTTTTTTTTGCTTTTGTTTTAATTTACATTTCATGGCTGTCTAGCTTTCTGGGGTACAGTGTACTTTTTCAGAGTATGCATGACAGTGTGTGGGAATCTAATTCGAGGATATTACCTTATTCTTCATCTTCAACAAAGTAATTAGGTTTTCAGTGTAGATGGTTTTTGTTTTGTCTTTTTTGGGATACATAAAAGCTTAACAGTGCCCCCCCCTTTTTCTTTACTTTTTTTCTTTTTTTGGGGGGGGAGGGGGAGAGGTTTTTGCTATAGGGCATATGCGGTTGCCAGACAGACAGACAGACTGAAAGCGGGAAATCATCCCCTGGGGGAATGGCCATGCAATCCCTTCTCCATTGTCCTCTCAGGATCTTGGGCATCCACACACACGCCCGGCGTGAGTTTTAAGCCACCAGGTCTGGGACGGGAACCACAGTCGACTACATGGGTGTCCAGTGACATAGCCATTACGCTAACTGCTGGTCCCCCCGTTCATTTAAAAAAAATTTTTTTTTTTTGGAGAGGTTTTTGCTATAGGGCGCGTGTGCTCACCAGACAGAAAGAGACAGACAGAAAGCAAGAAATCACCCCCCAGGGGGGATGGTCACGCTGCAATCCCTTCTCCATTCTCCTCTCGGGATTTTGGGCACGCACGCACACGCGTCTGGCGTGAGTTTTAAGCCACCAGGTCCGGGACACAAACCATGGTCGAATACGTGGGAGTCCAGCGACATAACCATTATGCTAACTGCTGGTCTCACCCCCATTCAATTTTTTAAATGCTGTTGTGATATATACCATTCCCTAACCTATTTGCCTTATTTGCATATGTCTCGTGGCTAATTTTTTTTTTAATTAAGCCCTTCCATAACCTCCAAGTATTGGAAAAAAATTCAGAATTTTTTTTAGACATGCATTTTCATTTCAATATACTCATTGATTATTTCATCTGATGCTTTTTAAAATGAGACCTGGAAGAATTAAAGATTACTGACATAAATCTAGCCAAAAATCATTAAGGTAAGGGAGAGCCACTGATAATTCAAAAATATTGATGGGGAGGGAACCAGCAGTTAGCGTAATGGCTATGTCGCTGGACTCCCACGTAGTCGACCGCGGTTCGTGTCCCGGACCCGGTGGCTTAAAACTCAAGCTGGGCGCTTGTGTATGCGTGCCCAAGATCCCGAGAGGAGAATGGAGGAGAAGGGATTGCGGCGTGACCATCCCCCCTGGGGGGTGATTTCTCGGTTTCTGTCTCTATGTCTCTCTCTGTCTGTCTGGCGAGCGCACGCGCCCTACAGTGAAAATCTCTCCAAAAAAAAATATATATATATATTGATGGGGGGGTGGAGCAGCAGGTGGCATGGTGGTTATGAAGGTGCTGGATCCTACATGGCCAACTACAGTTTAAGTCCTGGACCAGTGGCTTGAAAATCACACTGGGTGCATGTGTGCATGTCCACTCAAAATTCTGATAGGAGGGAACTCACCAGTTAGCGTAATGGCTATGTTGCTGGACTCCCACGTAGTCGACCGCAGTTTGCGTCCCGGCCCTGGTGGCTTAAAACTCACGCCGGGTGCGTGTGCGTGCGTGCCCAAAATCCCAAGAGGAGAATGGAGGAGAAGGGATTGCGGCATGACCATCCCCTCTGGGGGGGTGATTTCTCGCTTTCTGTCTCTATGTCTCTGGCTGGCTGGCGAGCGCACGCACCCTATAGCGAAAAACCTCTCCAAAAAAAAAATTCAGGTAGGAGACTGAATTGCAAGTTGGCTATCATCCTGGCATAGGGTGGTTTCTCACCTTTCTCTCTGGCAAGCACACATACCCTATAGCCAAACTAAAAAATAAAACACCATTGAGGATTTTGTCACATGGCCTAGTGGTTAAGAGAGCTGGCTCCCACCACATGGCAGTTGTGGTTTGAATTCAGGCTCCAATGACTTTTAAAACATGCCAGGCTCATGTGCAGGCGTGCCTAAAAGTACCGACAGCAGAGAGACATGGCAGAGAGGGTATTGCAGCATGACCACACCTATTGTGGGTTGTACTGTCTATCTGGAGAATGCACATTCCTCTGGTAATTAAAAATTAAAAAATGTAACCAGCAGGTGGCGGATGGTTATGTTGCTGGACTCCCCCGTAGTTGACTGTAGTTAAAGCGCCAGACCTGGCGGTTTAAAACTCAAGCTGGGGATCAGCAGGTTGCCTGGTGGTTAAGGCGCTGGACACTCCCACATGGCCAACCAGGATTCAAGCCCTGAATCTGGTGGCTTGCTTTCTCACTTCCTCTCTCTCACTCTCACCCTCTGTCTCTCTCTGGTCAAACTAAAATATACAATGAATGAATAAATAAAATAAATTATTATTAAAAAAAAAAGAAAACTCAAGCTGGGCACGTGTGTGCACATGCCAAAATCCTGAGTTGAGAATGGAGGAGGGACTGTAGCAAGGTCACACTTTTTGTCTTTGTCTCTTGGGCAAGTGCACACGCCCTATAGGTAAAATCTCTTAAAACACACACACACAAAAAGCAAAAACATTTGTGAGGAGTGAAGAAAATGACAAGTGATTTATCTTTCAATCCTAAAATTTTGTAATCTCAGTTTGGTAAAATATGAGGGGTAGGTATGATTCTTACTAGAGACAGTAAGAAAAGAAATTTTTTGGGGGGAAGAGGTTTTTGCTTTGGAAAGGGGGCATGCGCTCGCCAGAAAAAGAGCGAGCGAGAAATCACCCCCCAGGAGAGATGGCCACGCCGCAATCCCTTCTCTATTCTCCTCGGGATCTTGCACGTGCATGCACACGTGCTCAGCATGAGTTTAAGCCACCGATTCCAGGTCTCCAACTGCAGTCAGCTACATAGGAGTCCAGCGACACAGCCATTACGCCAATTGCTGATCCCCCAAGACTATAAAATTTAAAAAGCCAAAAATTCCATAAAATGAGTTAAGATTGGATTTGTACATAGCTAAATAGTTTTTTTATTAAATTTAACACAGCTCATTTTTAGTTTTTCGCCCTAAATTTACTAATGTGAGCACTTTAACTTCTTAATGAATATATAGTAATACATTATTATAATCAAGAGTATGTCTACTTTAAAAAGTCACATGATCATAACAGTAGATTAAAAAATAATAATAAAATATTGAGTCTAAAAGAGCATGTAAATGAGAACTACTTATAGGCCCATAACCACACAACAGAAAATTAAAAGATCTGGTATCCTAAGAACAAGACAGCATTCAAGATTGTTGGGACACATTCTACAAGTGATTTGTGTGGCCAAGTTGCCTACAGGGCTTTTAGTTTGCCAGCTGCAAGCTAAAATGTGGGACAAAGCCAGTCTTAAGGCAATATTAAAGCAGTATGTGGTGACAGCCAGGTAGCGTGAAGGTAAAGTAGGCTGGATCCCACACAGCCAATTGTGATTCAGGTCCCAGGCCCAGCAGCTTGAAAAACATGCTGGGCGTGTGTGCTTGTGTGCCCAATATCCTGAGGAGAATGGATCAGCAAAAGGGATTGTGGCCTGGCCATTCCTGCCAGGAAATGTTTTCTCTCCCTCCCTCCCTCCCTCCCTCCCTCTCAGCAAGTGCATGTGCCTTATACCAAATTTTAAAAATATGTGTGTAAGGTTTATATCTGGACAAAGGATATTTCTACATTAAGTTTATTATCTAATTAATTAAAAGAAAAATGTTTGTGTGCTTGAGCAAATAATTGCTATTACCTAACATCTATTACTAGTTAATTTTTTTTCCTTAGTCTTAATTAAGGAAATTGGAGAAAAAGCAAAAATTGGAAGAGAAGCTTTCACTTCTCTTCCCTGTCATTTACCAGACCCAGACAGTCTTATTTTTTTAATCTACCTTCTGAAAACTGACATAGGTCACCAAGTATTCTACATGACTTAACTGTATAAGCACATAAAAACTTCAACCTGAGACAGTAAGATTGTTGACCACCCTGCCTTAAATCTGTCTTCTCATTTTGCTTCCCTGACATTACATTCTCCCTTAGATTTATATTTCAGCCTTCTTCCTAATCATCTTTGTTGACTCAAAACTTTCTGTGGCCTAGCTTCTGGCACAGTAGATTGTGCACCAGACTAGAGCTGGAAGCCACATGCCAGCTGCAGTTTGAGTCCCCAGCCTAGTCAGCCTTGAAACACTGGACTCATGCCCAGGGTCCTTGGGACAGAGGACTAGAGGGGAGGGGATCATGGTGTGACCAAGCCCTGTCATAAGCACACAGTCTATCATGACCATTAAAAAAAAAGACATGGTGGCTCTATGTAAATATATAGATAAGTGTATATAGCCAGTGCCTCTCCCCACTTACTTCCCCATCCATTCTATTTTAAATTCCCGTAAATGGAGAGTCACTATCTAATGTAGAAATTTAT